TGATACGAATATAAATCTTGAGAAAGAATTCAACATACCATATGCTTAAAGCCACAATTAAATCATTGCTGGCCCCTGTGCTCTGTCCGTGATACACTTCATCATGTTCGCTATGTCTCATTATGAACTCCTCCTTTTTGATGACAGAAATACCTGCTTCTACAAAGCTCCAGGAACACATCTGAGCCGTTTACATGATAATGCTCAGACCGATTCGTAAGCGGAAAAGCATTTTGTAAATAAGAAGCTGCTGATGGCATGTGGAAGCTCTTGCAGGCAGCCTTACCTTCCACGGGAACCTGCACGGACACACAGCCGGCCGGGGACCATAAGTAGACTTTGCTATTTCCCGTACATAGAGCGAGTCGGGGTTGTCGCGGATCCCACTGGAAAGATTGGATGGCACACAGCTGCTCCAAGACTACAAACAGTTTCAGCTTTTGAATGTCCCAGATCCAGACAACGTTAGGAATGTTATCTGTCAGAAAAGGAAGAGGTAATCACGTAAATGCCTGAAGGATAAAAAGATCACATTTTATTTTAAAGAAATGGGCATTAGTTGAGGTCTAACACCACACAAACCGTTTAGGTACACCACGGGTTTAACACCAGTAGAGCTTTGCCCAGCAGTGCCTTCAGGTTCACTTTGGTAAAATTGCAAAAAGGATAAAAGAAGTGACTTAGTTTGTCTTCCAGTCCTTCACTGGCCTTTATCAAATGATTGACAATTATGCTCCTGTTGATGGCTTCTACCTCTGAACCACAGCTGTTGCATAAACAGCCCTTCAGGACCATCGAAGGGAAAGGGTAAACGTTAATTCCGTGACTTTCACTATTTGAGGTAATCAAAAGCCCCACTACTACCGGTTGTAAAGAATTCTGCCTTTCAAGAGACGCTCGCTGTGAATGGAGGAGGAAGGATTTGTGTATTTAATTTTCTAATACAGTGAGCTCACATACATTTGAAGAAATACAAAAAGGATACTATTTTCATTAAACACAAAGCCAAGACCAAGTTAATGCACGGATACGCAGTTCTGGCAGCTCACAATACTTTACGTACGGTAGAGGACAGGCTGGGTTTCCTCTGTAGTTACATGTCTGCACAACAGAGAGCCGCTTTTACGTAGGGCCAGTCTTCCCGTAGTGCAAAATAACCGACCCGATTATTGTCCTCGTTTCTTTTTTGAAAACACACCACCAACAATGAGTAGCTCTCCCCTTTAACACAGGGCAGTAGGAACTCACCATTTTTGGTTGCCAGGAAACAGTTATCTGGACTGAATGCCAACATCCCAATTCCCATTTTGGGATTTGCCCTGTCAGCAACTGGTTTGATATACTGTAGAGAAACTGGCACCTGGGAAATGTCATCTGGAATTTGAAATGAAAGTACTTTACTAAGCAAGTCTGAACGGACAAAATATTTAAATTCCAACTGTTAACCCCCCCCCCATCTCTGAAGTGATAACGACCATATTTTACTCTTCTCCAAGATGTTCCAATCAAAAACTTCAATTATTTTAAGGTACTGCATCTTCACACAAACAGCTTACTACTCTTGCCCTTCGACAAAAAACCAAAAGAAAGGCTGGAAAGCCAGGCAAGTCTGAGATCAAACTATGAAAAAAAAGGAAAGATCAAGTTTTCTGCTACCTTTTAACTAGTATTTCAAACAAACACCAATGCAAAACCGAAGGTGATTTACAATACCACAAACAATGAGACAGTAAAAAAAAAATAAAAAAGATACAAAAAAATACCAATCATACATTGTCTGCCACCTCTTTAATATTTCAAAGCTTGTTGTCTGGAGCCAAGTTTAAAGTATTGCTACAACTACAGCTTCTCAGACAAAAGCCAAATGGCCTTTTTCATGCTCTGCTTTTATATGTGACCTCACACCTACGGGATTAATTACTATCCTGTAACAGACAGCAGGACTGTAACACCTTCTGATTTTTATTTTTTTTTTTTAATTATTGAAACTGCCACACTCTATGATAAGATTCTTAATTGCTAGAATCAGATGAAATATTGCAATTATCTGCAACAGTTAAACTT